GCACGTATGTGGAAACCCAGCACACTGAGGGTTGCATCCTGCCCATATTTCATAGGATTCCTAAACAAGTGCTTCAGGTTTCAACACTCAGCCCTTTTCTGAACTGTACCCCCAAGTGATGGAGTTGATGATAATGAGGAAGGTGCTGACCATGATAATTACATAAAGAACTAAATATAGGTGAGCTGATTAAGAATCTAGGAGCCAGGAAAGGGTTATACTTTATTCAAACTGTATGTACTCACCAAAATGAAGACACTGAGACACAGAAGGTTAAATGATTTGTCCAAGGCTGTTGATCTGGGAATGACATTCTGCTAATTTGTACTCTTGACTACATCAGAATTCTACCTATGATAATGCTTATGCTATTGTTGCTAGCAATTTAATCCCCAAGTTCAGTTAAGAATCATTGACTGCTTATCAGATATAGTTGACCAGGTGTTTGCTTTTGTTTTTATATTAATGGGCCTTTCAGTGTAAAGATACAGATCACAAAGTCTAACAGACTTGTACACAACCACAAATGTCTAAGAATAATTGCTGAAATATTTGTTGGTTCCAGGGAAAATCCTAATATGATGGTTAGATTTTATGTCAAATTGATGCACCTGTGTGAAGGTGGATGAAGTCTCCTTGGGGGTTGTGATAGTTACGTAATCTATAGTCAATTTGAGACTTATGAGTGAAGGAGTGGAGTTTAGCCTGTCAATGAGATCGCAGCTTGATGACCTCATTTGGAGGTGCTAAGGAGATAAATAGCTCATTGGAGGTCGGACACATGCTCACTGGAAGACATTGATTCTTACAATATACATGGGGCTACGCTAGATCTCTGGAGCTGAAAGAGCCACGTGGAGACCGTTGCCAGCACTGAGATACCTCTATGGCCGCTGGATCCACAAGACGTTCCACCCACTGGCCTTTGATTGTCCTGCATTTAGCATTATTGCATGTGTTTTGCGAGTCTCAAGAAGACTTTATAGATTAGTGTCGGACATGTGGGCTAATCTCGAACTTATGGACTTGATCTGGACTGGGCTGGGACGTTTTCTCAATATTCAATTGTTCTTGTATATAAAGCTCTTTCTTATACACTAATGTGTGTTTATGAATTTGTTTCTCTAGTCTACCCAGACTAGCACAGGGATGTGGCTTATTGATAAGAAATGCTGTGGAAGACTGAACCATTTCTCTTGCCCTTCCCTCTCTGCTTGTGGAGCCCTGGTGGTGTATCGGTTATGCATTGGGCTGCAAACCACATGACTGGCAGCTCCACTGGAGAAAGACCGGGTAGTCTACTCCCATAAACAGTTACAGTCTCAGGTGGATGCTATGAGTCAGCATTGACTCAATGGTAGCAAGTTGTTTGCCTGCTGGAATCTGTGGCCCATTTTGTCTACCATCCCTGCGAGATGTTGGCACCCTCCACGGTCCTGCTAATCTTAGACCCACATGACTCTATACCCACTGCCTGTGGTCCCCCAGCTTCCCACTTAGCACTCCTTCTTTATCAGCTAGCAGCTTCGTGAATCTGGAGAGCTATAAAGTTAGCATGTCCTAACTTGGCCTCTACTGGGCCACTTCCTTGATATAAATTCCCTTCTCCTCACTGCCCCCCATCTTCCCACCAAAATATTTTATTGGGAACTCTTACAGATATTAAACCATCCTGTCATTCAATCACATCAAGCAGTATTGTATAATTGTTACTACTATCAAGTTAAAAACATTTTATTCCTTCTTAAACTCCTTGTCATCAGCTCCCCTTGACCCCTCCTCCCTCATTGTACCCCATCAGGAATGCTTATTTCACTTGTTGTTTCTATAGGCTCATCAATTCTGGATTTCATATACTGAAAAATAGAAAAACATATGACAACAATTCAAGAGGATTACCCAAATGGCAAAATACATCAGAGATAAACCTTAATATGGAACACACACACACACACACACACACACACACACACACAGTATTGAAAACCAGATCAAGTCCAAAGTGTATCAGAGGGGGTACAGTGGCAAGGTTTTAACCATTCAAGTCAGGTTTATCATTTTAGCCTTCTACAGTCATCTCTCCAATCCTCTGTTTGGTAGTTTATCCCATTTCTCAATTATGGATAGAGGAAAATCTTTTGAGGTTTATATCCTGTGTTGATCTCGAAAACAACTGAAAAAACACTTATTGAGCTTATAAAAGATAAGAGAAAATATTTTAATAGCATTTATTGTAGAATTATGACATACTGTAATCATTCAGTAAATCCAACTTTGGGCTTATGTAAAGTGGAAATAAAAGCCCAGTTTCTTGTTAGAGAAAGTCACAAAGCTCACATTAGAAACATGAGAAGCTAGATGGCAGATTGTCCCTGACAGAACATGATGTACTAGATGTCAAATTGTCCCTAAGAGGTCGACTTTTAAGCCTTACCTTAAACTAATTTGTCTCCCGGTGATGCCAAGTAACACCAGACAATAGCAGAAACTCTACAGTGGTAGCAATAATGCTAGTTAGACGGCCTTTACTTGTCCAAATAGACCAATTCGTTTAAGCAAACAAGGTTGGAACCCTACTACACAGTGCAAAACACAGACAATGGGAAAATACTAAAGAGCATGACTCATAGTCCGCTTCTAAAAAATGTATGGAACATTAGCTGAAGTTTTTGCTTTCATCATTATTGTCATTTCTTTTGCAATCATTAATTGTAGCTAACATCTTGAGCATTAGTTATTTTCTAAGCATTGCACTAAGAATACTTCATTGCACTAAGAATACTTCAAGGATCATCTGAAAAACATGCTTTTGTTAAATTTATAATATTTTATTAAATTTATCAATTTAATCCAAGGTGGTAAAGGGCTGCCTTGCAATCCTAACATTTCCACATAGTTCAATTTTCCTGCCTCCGAAAATGATAATTTACATCTCTTCTCCCTTCTCAAATGTTGAGATTCCTCATTCACAGGTGGTCCCCTTGATTCTCACTGTACTGAAAACTAGATTCGATCAGAATCGAACCTCCTTGTATCTGCCTGATCCCCTTTTTCTTCCTCCTACAGTTGATGAGCTCATCCTGTTTATCTTCTGTCACGTTGATTTCATGATCAATTTTATATTTTCGTGAAATGTTTTTTTAAACAATTAAAAACATGCAATATCACACAACTAAATATATCCATATATATGTATACCCAGTTGATATTATGTTGTGTCCGTTTTGTCCCAATTTTCTCCAATAAATAAGATTTGTTTGAATATTCTATTTACAATATCCACCTCCGAACCCTCCATTTCCTTTGATTGCACCGATCATAAATCCATTAACGTTCCTATTACTAAAGATCAGATCAGATCTCCATTTTGGAAAACCAAAGGTCTCATTTTTTATTGCAATGAAGTTATAGACTCCTTTTGTTGAAATGTTCTCTAAACATTTTATTCATTTATGACTGAGCTATCACCACTTCTAACATCATTAGACACTTTGTCTCAGTGCTTCTGCAAGGAGTCCTATTGCCTCAGAGCTTACTCTTTAATCTGTCTCTAATCTAGGTTCTCTCAACTAATATTATATGCTTAAATATGCTTTCTATTCGGAAGACTATGAAATTTTTACCACATTCTAGAACTTTAATCTGAACTCTGACATTTTGAAGTTTCAATTTTATAACAGATATTTAAAACTGATCTTGTTAACAACTGCTTTCTTGAATTATCCCACTCAACCTTACCACTCCAGCAGTTTTACAATTCTTAATGAATATTTCATTTCCCAACCACTTGCATCCCAAATACTGAGTTATCCTACACCTTATCTTTTCTCCACACCTACATAGAATCAATGAGCTAAATCCTATTGACTATTCTTCCAGATCACACCCAGAATCTGTCTTTATTACTCTACTACATTCCAACATTTCTTAATTGTTCACATTTGAAGCCTGCTAAATTGTCTTCCTTAATTATTCATGTTCCCTGCTGCATTGTCAACGATGCAGTATAGTTCCCAGTGATTCATTTAAAAATGGGAATCTCATCATGCCGCATTTCTTCTGCAAATCCCTCAAGAAATTCATCTCATTCAAATAAAACCCAAAGTACCTGTAAAGTGTGTTGTGAATTACACAGAGCTGTAAAATATTGATATTCCTTTCCAGGATATGTACTTGCTTCATCCCTTCTATTATAGTAACACAGACAGTGGCACAATAGTTTCCTCAGGTATTAAATATTTGACTTATTTAATTTAAAGATGCATGTGATGATTGTTCATCTTATAAGCAATCAATTAGATCCATTCCATCCACTATTTATTGTGGACAAGAATTTTGGTGGTTTAGTTGATAAAGATTTACAGTCTCTGAAATCCTAAGGATAAGTCTTACTCCGTCTAATAGAGTCACTATGAGTTGGAATGTACCCAATGGCAATGGATTGATATTAATATTAATATTAGGAGATGGAAATATAATCTTAGAGATGAGACATGTCTAAATTTGGGGTAGTTTCTTTGCCATTTGTGGGTTGTTTTGTTATACTCTATTGTTGTGAAAGTTATTACATTGTTCTTGGCACCAAAATTTCAGTAGTGCTGTAGAAGATGTTATTTGTTTAATTCTGAGTTAATTATGAAGGAGACTTGATTCAGAGTAAAAAGACTTTGTATGAATCCTAATATCGGTTTTTTCATGTATCTTTTTGTCATGTCCCTCTTGGAGGCAAGGATCAATACCAGATGAATCCTTCAACCTACTAAATAGAAAACAAGTAGAAAATAGAAAACAAGTTTTTTGATAACAAGCCAAAAAACTTTCTCTGTAATTAATAAAACATTTTCACCTTTAGTATAACACAGACAGGAAAAATTCTCCTGATTCTCAATACTTAACAGTATTTGATAGATAGAAAAATCCTTTCTTCTGTGGAGAAGTTAGATGTATGGAGGAGGTTCTTGTGGAAAAAAAATCATGACTGTAAATCATTCCTCTTGGTTCTATGCATCATTTGTGGCTACTTTCTGAGCAGAACAGCATCGAGCAAATATCTTTTTAAATGCTCCCATTACATCTTTGTTTCGTAGACTGTAGATCAGAGGATTGAGCATGGGTGTGACGATAGTATAGAAGGCTGACACTACCTTGTCCTTCTCAGGGGTGTGAAATGACTGGGGCAACACATATGTGTAGAAGGCCGCCCCATAGAAAATGCTGACAACAGTCAAGTGGGATGAACAAGTGGTAAAGGCTTTTTTCCGGCCTTCTGTAGAGCGCATTCGGTGCACAGTTAACAAAATGAGAGAATAGGAAGTGGAGATTATAGAGATAGGGATAAGGAGCATGAGTACACAGCAGATATACATCAGTGTTTCATACAAGGATGTGTCTGCACAGGCCAGTCTGAGAACTGCAGGGATCTCACAGAAGAAATGGTTGATGCTACGGGAGCCACAATAGGGGACATTCATAGTAATGGGGGTGAGCAAAAATCCATCAAGGGACCCACCAAACCAAGCACCAGCAGCCAGAAGGAGACATACCTTGCGGTTCATCAGGACTGGATACCTAAGAGGGTTACAGACAGCCACATAGCGGTCGTAGGCCATGAGGCCCAGAAGGAAGAACTCTGAGCCAATCATCGTCAAGTAGAGAAAAATCTGGATGCCGCAGGCCACAAAGGAAATGGTCTTCTCTTGGGACATCAAATCAACAAGGAGCTTCGGGACAGTGGTACAAATAAAGAGGGTGTCCATGATGGACAACTGGCTGAGCAGAAAGTACATGGGCGTGTGGAGGCGGGAGTCCACCTGAATTAAAAGGATCATGACCAAATTTGCAGTTACAGCCACTATGAAAATAGCAAGAATAACAGTGAAGACAATGCCTGTAACCTGGTTGTTCACCAGAAGTCCCAACAGAATAAAGTCAGAAGATGAAGTGCCGTTCTTCATTGCTCGAGTCTATGACAAATTCAAGTGAAGAAAAGTCACACAATGAAGCAAAGGAAATGGGACATTTAATATAGAAGAAAAGTATTATGGAAATGACACATCAGAGGATACTGGACAAGATCAAATTTCCAGGGCAGAATGCTAGGGAAATCAAACTGACCAAAAACCCTCTCACCAAAAAACTGTCTTTATGGGTCAAGTTCTCCTTATTGTAGAATGGCACTTTTTGGTATTTTTGCATGCTATTCATTATTTTAAATTGACAAAGACAACGGAGTTTGTTGTATTTGGAATAGGAAAAATGAGAAATAAAGAATTGATAAAATTTAAATTACGGTGAGGACGAATGTGCACCTGACACAAATCATGGTATATTTAATGGACTCATGTGCATGTGAAAGTTGGACACTGACTAAAAAAGACCCAAAGAAGAAATGATGCATTTGAATTACAGACCTGGCAGGGAATATTGAAAGCACCATGGACTTCCTAAAAAGAAAAAAAGTGAGAGAGAGAGATTTTATTGGAAGAAGTACAGCCTGAGAAGCAAAGATGGTCCAAAGTATTATGGACTTTGGACATGTTATATCGAGAAAAACACAATAAATATATGAAATAGCTTTACTGTCATAATGATCAGTAGAATGAAAATTAGCATCACAATAATATGCCATTATATAGTTACTGATTGAAGAAATACAAATTTTTGCTAATTAGATTATTATAATAGAGTTTAGTAAATTTCTTAGACAGAAAATCAATAGGCAGAAATCAGTTTTAAATTTATATGCAGAAAACACACAAATATTGAGCAAATAAATTTAACAATACATTTTGATTTGCAATGTCATTAAATATTTAGAAACATAAAAAAATCTCCAAGGAAGAGATAAAGTTTTACTGAGAAAATTTCAGTGATGATGAGATCCATATTGAACTGAAAGACTCAGTATTGATAATATGTACAAATTATCCCAAATTTGGAATAGGAAATAAAATGTCAATTCTCCCAAAATTGATCTACAATGTATTATCCTAATACAAATCTCATTTTTTCTCTTTCCTCCTCTCCCTCTTTCATTACGTCTTTGTTCATAATATGCCTTCTTTTTCTCTCTTTAGTTCTCTCTCTGTTGTTTTGTAGAAATGACAAGGTACTTTTAAATTTGAGGGAAGATTCTATAATGCTATGCTATAAAATACTTAATAAATAAGTAATGTGATCTTTTTGTTAAGATAATCACATAGGTCGATGTATCATAAATAGATCATAAAGTGAAACAGATTATATGTAGACAGTTAAGTATGATATATCCATGAGTAAAATAGAATCTTATGAAAAATATTTCATATTCACATGAAAAAATACATGTTTATCAGAAACATGCATTAATATATCACAGACTAACTACTGTTGTTATTGGATTTTTTTATTTTGAAAGCATCCTAATGGTTCTGAGACAAGGAAATAACTGAGAGGATTTGTCTACAGCCATTCCCTGATTGCAGAGAAATATTTAAAGATGACTTGTTTGGCATAAACTTTTACATGGATGAACTGGGAAAATTAACTAACTAACAAACCACCTAATAGTGTTGGGCAAATATACTGAAAGTACCCTGGGTTCCCAGGAACACAAATCTGTTTTGGAAGAAGTACAACCATAACGCTCCTTAGGAGTGGGGGTGGCAATACTTCACCTCACATACTTGCTATATGTTATCAGGAGAGACCACTTCCTACAAAAGGATAACACGCTTGGTAAAGCAAGCTGCCCGTGAAAAAGAGGAAGACCTTTCTGATCTCAAACATAAAAATTGGGAGAATGGCACAGGATCTGGTATTGTCTTGTTCGGTTGTCCGTAGGGTCCCCGGGACCTAGAACTGCCGCAAGGACATCTAACACACATAGACTCAGTTGACTTATAACTACACCTCTCTTGTTCACCTTACAGTTCTGGAATTGAAAAAGTTGCCCAACATACATTAGTGCTGTTTTGGTTGAAGAAAATCTTGAATGATTGATTAATTAATTGGCTGAACAGTCTAAGTCAATTTAAAGAAATAACTTAAGAAATTGACAATCTGGAGCATTTGTTGAGGCTTCATTAATGACAGTTTCTTATCTTTTTGATCTTTTTATTACTTACCAAATTTGGATCACTTCAAATTGCTTGTACTGTTTAGTAATTCCCCCAGCATCTTTCTTTAAATAACTTCTTTACTTTCTCATTTAATAAAACCATAGCTTACCTAATAAATTTGCTTAGAAAAGCAGATATGATCATACCATTAGCTTATTCCCTATATTGTTCCCACTGTTACTATGGGTTTGGGCATGAAGATAGAGAAAGAGTTAAAAATAAAGCATTGGCATTTTGTAGCCATTTCACTGACTGACAAACTGAAAGAAGGCGTTAACCAAGGAAAGAAGTCAACCAGTGTTTCTCTGTACCGTGTGCCTGAAGTTAACCAGAGGACTAGGGTACTGTGGAGCATATTATCAAATGTAAACAAGAATATGACTGAAAGAAATCACAGCTTTGAAACAAAAATTTCATCCTGATTTCAATTTAGATGGATTGAAGGTTTAAGTGTTTAAAAAGAAAAGAAAAAGAATTGTAAATGCAATAATGTGAACTGTTCTCCAAACATAACATTTACTGGCTTGATCATTAAATATGTGTTTATAATCGAGAAGTTCTGATTAAGGTGAAAACTCAGACATATGCTCCAATTTTGTTGTCTATGGTATTTCCAAGATGACTCCAGGTACCATGTTTCAGTGTGTAGTATTGCCATATACAGGAAACCAAAATACAGAATTGCATTTAATTTCTTATATAAGTATACCCTTAAGTACTTGGTAAAATTGTTACAGTTTTTAAAATTATATTTTTAGGACCTCTACATTCGCTCAGTATCTTTTTACTGCCCTAGAAAGAGGACATGCAAGCTTGGTGCTTCAGTTTCACCAAGCTAAAAGCATAACAATGGCAATACAAAGTGATGTCGAATCAGCAAATGCTAATAGGTAGCCTACAATGCCAAAATGTTCATTGATATCATTGCTGTTGTTGTTGTGTGACCTTGAGTAAATTCTGACTCAAAATAACCCCATGGGACAGGGTATAACTATATCATAAATGGGGTTTTTTTATGCTGTACATCTTTATAAGAACAGATTACCATGTGTTTTCTACCACAGAGCACATTTTGGATTTGAATTGGTGACCCGTCAAGTGGTAACTGAGCCTAAAAATTAAATAGTCTAATTCCAACCTTCATTTTGATTAATAAATTTAAATTACACTAAGAATAGCACAAGACTACTGTCCCATTTATCAGGCTTTTTTATACACCTTGCTGACAAAATTCTAAGACAGATGGCAGTGAGTTTTAGCTTTTAATCTAGACTGAGAGGCTCAACACCTTAATTTCATAAAGTCAACTGAAACTTTTCTTTTAACTGCCATCAAATTGATGCCTGCACAAGACTCCTCTGAAAATGAGTATTTCCAAATAATGCATTGTATAAATAACACACAATCCAGAGATATAAAAGAAATTCATTATTTTTCAGTCTCCAAAGTTTCTTAATAAAACTAACCCACACAAAGGGGTGGTGGTATTGAGGTCTTTCCTTTGTCACATATAGGATGTTCAATTTTTTACTAAACATATAGCATAGTATAAAACACACAAATGCATATATTTCTGACTACATTTTTCAGTTAATAGCCTGGTTCTTGCTGTCGTACTTGGGTTGTTCCAACAGCTTTCACCTATGCCCCAGAGTCCATTTAGTCTAGTTTGGGCATTCTAATCAGTCATCTTTGGAAATCTCCGCCAAACCAAGCCATGCTCTGTGCAAAATCTTCCATGGCAGCTCCAGTTGCCCTCTGAGGTTTTCCGCTGTCTCTACTGCCTGTTTGTCTCAATCTGCCATTGCACTTGTCCCTAGACGTTTGCCTTCTTCTTCTGCCAGCCAAAGGCTTCGTTCACATCTGTGCCTAGTCATCCCATATGTCATTCAAGTCTTTGCCCAGAAGTCACCTTCCCAGAGGGACTAAGAATGTCAAAATTGTTTAAACTAAACAGACTTACTTTTCTCTTCTGAATCGCCCTCTGTCTTGATAGATCTTCACTCAGGTGGGTTCTAAATGTTATATGAAAGATAACTGTAGTGCTGGATGTTTTTATCCCTCCAGGATTTTGTTATAGATATTGTTAACGAAGTTTAAGTCCACCTTATGTAAAAAACTTAAAAGGGAAATAAACAAGCATGATTTGTACCCACAGAATGTCTCCATTTCCTCCCATTATCAGAGAAAAGTTGCCAAATGCCTTGTTATTATTTTATTAACTTTAATAATGTTACAAAAGACCTATTTTATGGTTAAATGAGACAAATTATGATGGACAGAATATTGGCCTTCCCCAAATATCCATGTTCTAAACCTTGGATCTACAAATATGTTAGTTTTCCTGGGTAAGTGGGCATTGTAGTTATGATTAAAATAATAAATTTCAGATAAGAATTTTCCTGTATTTATCATGTGATCCTAATGTAAACTTAAGATTCTTTATAAAGGAATGAGGAAAACAAGAGTTTCACAGAAGATATGAGAATGGATAAAACAAATGTAAGACATCTCTGGAAGTTGTAGAAAATGAAGGACAATTAGTCTCCACTAAGGTCTTCAGAAGGAATGATGTTCTACTAACAATTTTAGCCTCTAAGACACATTTTTTAGTCTGACCTCCAAAAATATGTAATAATGTATTGATATATGTTATTGTTTGTAGTAATCTGTTGCAGCAACAATACAAAATGAATTCATCAATAAATCATGTAAGCCATCTTTAAAATAATTGAGACAAGTTGGTAATGATAATGCTTATTGTACAACGTGAACACTTCCACACACTGTAATGTTTTGATGTCGTCACCTGCACATCACCTCTATGAGGCAGGCTATTCAAACTATCACCATTTCACACCTGGAGAAATTGAAGCACAAGCAAATAAGTAAAGGGAATTAGAACCAGGCTTGAGAAGTCTTTGTTTCTCATGCATCCAGACATTATGTTCAACAGTATCTTTTTTATTTTTCATATTGTGATAAAAATACACATATATAAATTTGATCAACTCATGGACAATTCAGTGATATTAATAGCATTCTTTAAATTGTGCCACCATTCTTCCTACCATTTTTCCAAATTTCACCACCATTTACATAAACTAAATATGCTCTAAGACAAAATTCCTTTTTCCTCTTCTCCCAAGCGCTGAGAATCTCTAATGCACAGTAAATTTGCAAGTATCAATTAAACTTATAACCAGCTTAATAAATATAGACTATCAGTCCATAATATATTTTTATCCAAAACTGTTAGCAGAATAGTATTAGCAGAAAACTGTTAGTAGAAAATGTAATTATTTACAGGAAACAAATGGTCCTGAACTCTTGGGTACAAACCAGTTATCAAATGTCTATAGTAGCATGGCTTCTTATTCAAGTCCATGAGAACAAAGAACCATCTCACACAATGTACTTTGAGGAAGACTTTTCAAGTGTTGACTCACAAATCTCACTGCTGAAGAAATCACACTGCATGGAAGGTGACTTTGTCTTTGACATCAAAAGACAGAGCTCACACCATTGCATATTCATGTCCCCAGTCATTCAACCTGCCTCACTGCTATTACATGATAATCTGATGTAGATAATATAATCCCCCCATTCCCTTTTGCTAAATTTTAAGAGTATTTTTATAACACATATAAAATTCTCAAGAATATTTTTTCTGTAAATTATGAATCCCTCCATTTGTTCTGTTTCTCTACCAACTCACCTACTTATTGCTCTTTCCTTTTGTATGTTCAAAGGAGAAATAACATCTAAGACCAATCCAGCAAAACCCAACATTTCTTTACTTTTTTCCCATACCTAGTAGAAATTAGATAGGAATTGGTACAGTTAGAAGGGATTTATGTACCCTTTTGCTGTTCCAGCTTCACTATTGGCATAGTTGAGATCGTAAAAACCACCTACTTTCTTGGACTTCTGGTTCCAAGAAAATCTTCAACACTGGATATCCAGGCAAAGACAAGAACAGTAAAACACTGGCATATATACTTTCTAGTTCTAAGCTATCTAAAAGGAAGCAATGTTTTTTCAATCACAACATTTATATTTAATCAATACCATGTGTCAGGAAAATTTCTAGGCTTTTGGGACTCATCATAGAATAAAATAATGATCCCTCTCTTTTTATATTGTACTAAATAAAGTAATACAATCAAGTATGTTTAACAAGCTAATCAAAAGCAAAGAAAGCAATATAAGATACTACATGTTCTTATTTATTACCTTTATATTCTTATATAAATCAAAGTGATTCTGTAGAAACAGTAAACTTACCAATTGTCTTGAAAAGAAAGAGGTACTCATTGGATGTTTGGTAAACATATGACAAAGCTGAGGTAGATTTTTGGATTTAATAAGATCTACCCTCAACAAAATCCCAGCTGAGAATGATTTTTCAAAGTTCTGTTTTTAGCAAATTATATATATGTATTATATTTATCACTCAGCCTGTTTTTTTAAAGCTGGAAAAGTTACCAATACTATGAAATTTTCCATTATTACATTACATTTGCCTTGCTTGATGTAAATTCCCCCTTTATTTTAAATGTTTTTCCCATTTTGACAAACTCTTAGCAACTTTATTTAAATCCTATAACTGGGTACCATTGTCCAGTTCCCCTCTAAGCTAAAGAGCTCTTCATTCTCTTCTCTGTTCTGATTTTCTCCTATCTTTCAATATCTTCCATTTTCCTTTTTGTTTGGTACTTCCCTGAGTATTAAATAAAGCGTTTAATAAATAGGCTTAATACGGCTTACTAATAATATGTTGATATTAAATAAATATGTAGCTACAATTTTCATTTGATATAATATCCCTATTTCTCACCTGACAAGACCCCACAGTGGGGGGTCAATGGCCCCTCATCACGAAGACGCAGATCCTTGGTAGAAAGACCAGTCCAGCTGCCTCCAACGGAAAATGAGCCGGAGTTTTATCAGACTGCGAATCCTAGAGGGAACTTTGTCCCCAGACTATTAGGATCACCCGCTGGCAGCTGTGCATTGTACAAGATGCTTCCCTCCTTTGAAAATGTCCTACCACTTGGTATTAGAGCTCAGCATCAAAATATAGTGCTTCAGAGGCCCGTTCATGTCTCTTGCTTGAAGAAGAAATAATTTCTAATCATCAGTTTATTCATCTCCCAGTGGGGTAATTTGTTTACAAAATACTTTGTAGAACTTGTTGGGGATCTGAATAAAAGCTAGATAAGGTAGTTAAATATATTTAAAAATTTGGACAGATTTTTCCCATCATCTAGAAAAGTGCCTGCCTTTTGGTAAACAATTAATACTTTTTAATCATTAAAACCTTTTAGAATATAAAGTAAATTATAATGTTCATTCTCTTTAGTAAAAAAATGGTGATTTAAAATTATTTTATATATGAAGTTAGTAAGAAAACTGGGGAGAAATTCTTAGCTACTTCTTTTTAGAGAGAACAATTCTTATGGGTAGGAGGAGTCGTACCCACAACATGTATGATGCATTTTTATGTATTTTTTAAGAATACCATACATACACAAAAGTGCATATGTCATAAGTGGTGTTTTGATGAGGCATGTCAGACTAACCACACCCCAGAAATGTCCTTCTTCCTTGCCTTAATCATTGACTCCTATACATCATTGAGAATTACGATAAATGTATTTTCCATAATTTTAGTTTTTCATGTAATTGGGAATATTTATCAGTTGTGTGCTAAATATATTTGTTAAACGTATAAAGGAATTATTTTGCAGGGCAAGAAATTAATACCTATTAAATATTAATATACACGTTCCCTGTTCCAGGCCAGGAAATGGTAAAGGAAGACAAACATGCTCATGGTAATAGGTAAATATGAAGCATGAAGAAAATGTATAGAGTTACAGACCAAGTGTATATGCCCTACAATAGGCTGAGTCGGAAGAGGGACAAGACCTCAGCATGAATGCAGATAGAAGTTCAAAGGAAACTGAAAAGTGAATGGAGCTGAAAAGAAGTCACATTGAGTATATTTTATAACTCAGGCCTGATTTTCTTATCTGGTTAGATAGATTCAATTGTGTAGGTCATTCTTCCCTCCTTCGTTATTTTATTGGATCAATTTCTGTTGATTCTTTAATGCTTCTACCCCTCCTCCCCCACAATCATGATCCCAATTCTACCTTACAAGTCTGGCTAGACCAGAGCATGTACACTGGTACAGATCAGAGCTGGAAACACAGGCAGGGAATCCAGGACAGATAAACCCCTCAGGACCAATAATGAGAGTAGAGATACCAGGAGGGGAAGAAGAAGGTGGGGGATAAAGCGGGGACCGATCACAATTATCTACATATAACCCCCTCCTTGGGGGATGGACAACAGAAAAGTGGGTGTAGGGAGACATCAGACAGTGTAAGACATGGAATAGTAATAATAATTTATAAATTATCAAGGGTTCACAAGGTTGGGGAGTGGGGAAGAAGGGGAAACAATGAGGAGCTGATACCAAGGGCTCAAGTAGAAAGAAAATGTTTTGAGAATGATGATGGCAACAAATGTACAAATGTGCTTGACACAATAGATGCATGCATGAATTTTGATACAAATTGTATGAGCCCCCAATAAAATGATTTATTAAAAAAAAGAATAAAGATCAATTTCTTAGGACTTGTATGAGGAAAAACAAACCTTATGATTAGCATCTTAAAGGAGATAGTTTTCCTTTAACAACAGGGAAGGAAATGGTGGTCCTACACGTAGTGGGAATAGTGACATTAGACTATGCAACATATCAATAATTTAATACAATATAATGACATTTGCTTAATCTTTGTGCAATAGAAAATCATTTAAATTGTCCAAATTTTCTCTTTTCCAAGTTTTCTTTTGATGGAGAAGAAAACCAACAATTAATTAAAACATCTCTTTTATTTATAATATTTCAAAATTTTATATACATAGATGACATTGAGTAAATGGATGCTAAAAGACTCAGTGTGGTCTCAGTTTAGTTAAGATTCTAGTATTCTAGGCATTTACACACAGGTTCTCAGTTACTATAAAAATAACACATCTCAGCCAACCTCGTATACCACACGGAGAAGTTGAGAAAAAGAAAATTGAACATCTGGATTTGTTCATTCTATACTTCTCCATTATTTCTGCATTAAACTATACAGATATGTCATTGTAAAGTTAAGGCAATGCTATTGTCTTAATGGCAGAAATCAATTTTATATCAACAATAAGGTTCATATGAGACTCTATATCCTCTCAATACATAGTAATGATGTTCCGTTTAGTTTAAATGGTAACAGAATACAGATGTTCTGAATAAAAACATGAATACAGACCCAAAATACAATCTAAACACTTCTAAATACCATCTAAACACATACAATCTAAAAAATCTAAACACATATAATCTAAAAAATAAACACATACAATCTAAAAAATAAACGCAGTCTAAACACATACAATCTAATAAATACAATCTAAACTCTTAACTAAAACATACCTTCTTCAAAGACTATATATAACTGGTACCAGAAACAGGGATGTTTGTACCTGCCCCCACTCCAGATCCCACTAGCATTTCCCAGATACATCCCTCGTCCCGATTCTCTGGGAGGCGTTACATCTCCAAAGCACCTTCCTGAGAGCTGCAGTCACATCTTTATTTCTCAAACTGTAGATGAGTGGGTTGAGCATGGGAGTGAGGATAGTGTAGAAGGCAGACACGACTTTGTCTTTTTCTGGTGTGTGGTAGGAGTGGGGCAGTACGTTGGTATAGAAGGCTGCCCCATAGAAAATACTCACCACCATAATGTGTGAGGAGCAAGTAGCAAAGGCTTTGCGCCGACCCTCCGCAGAATTCATTTGATGCACAGTAATCAGAATCCGTGTGTAGGAGACAGCAATGATGGATATGGGGATGAGCAGCATCAACACACAGCAGGAATACATGAGGGTCTCATAGAGTGATGTGTCTACACATGACAACTTCAATACAGCTGGGATCTCACAGAAAAAATGATTGATTTCTCGAGACCCACAGTAGGGAAAACTCATGGTGACAGGGGTCAGCATAAATCCATCCAAGGAGCCACCAAACCAGGATCCCACCACCATGAACAAGCAAACCCTGCGGTTCATGAGGAGAGGATATCTAAGGGGGTTGCACACCGCCACATATCGGTCATAGGCCATGAGACCCAGCAGAAAGAATTCCCCTCCAATTAGGGTGAGGTAGAGAAATATTTGAATGGCACACCCAATGAAGGAGATGGATTTTTCCTTGGACAGAAGATCTTGCAACATCTTGGGAACAGTGATGCATATGTATACTGTGTCCATAATGGAGAGCTGGCTGAGCAGGAAGTACATGGGTGTGTGGAGGCGAGAGTCCACATGGATGAGCAGAATCATGACTACATTGGCTGTTATTGCTACTACAAAGATGGAGAAAACCACTGCAAAGATAAGCTCAGGGAACAACGGATGAGTGATGAGGCCCAAGAGGATGAAGTCAGTGGAATTCTGCAATAGGACCCCCATATCCATATCGCATGGTATTTCTTAGACTGTCAAGGTAAAAATTAATCAAGTTAAGCAATAATCCAGTACATATGACAAGCCCACTATGAGTAGTATGCTGGAAGCAAGATGGGACAAAGGTGAAAACATCAGTATTGCCAATAGCATCATTCTCAATTAGGGTTTCAGTATTGTTTCATGACACTGGATGTGCACATTAATCTCTTAGGGAATTCAGATTCATCATTCGTCAAAGATCAGACTGTGGCTTTGGACTGCCAGTGAGTGGCAAACGGCATGATTCATGGTGTCTAAGTTTCAAAGACGGCTTTATTTTTATTCTGAGATATCTTTTATATACAGTCTCAAATCTTATCACTTACATTGGAAATTTTCTGAGGTTGCGGTCTGTGCATTTCCCCCACATTGTGTTGCCATCTACAGATATACATTAAGAAAATTTAAATGGATTTCTACCATAACATTGCTGAAATCCATGAAAATATCCATGTGTGCTTTCATAAACTTATAGACTGTAATATATAGTTACTAAACTCTAAGAATTTAGACTATGTTTGTATACTGCTCTCATTACAAAACTTTGTGAAGGAATGGATCACCTTGGATTAGCCAGTAGTAATACTACATCCACTCGTTTGCCAGGCTGTGGTGGCTTGCTTGTTGCTGTGGCTCTGGAAGCTATGCCACTGCTGTTTTAAATGCCAGCAGGGTCACCCAAAGAGAACTAGTATCAGCGGAACTTCCTGACCAAGAACAGACTATCAAAAAAAAAGCCTACTGTACACTTTAGAGGAATCAGATGCTAAAATCCTTGTGTACGACATCAGATCATAGTCAGACACTATGAATATGTCTTCCTTCTCACAGTAGTGTCAACCCTTATGACACAAATGGAGGAAAGCCCTCAGATATTTGTCTGCTGGTGGGGCACGCATCAAAACAAAAAAAATGAGCAGCAAAATTCTACTAACAATTGGAATGTGGAATGTGCAAGGTATGAACTAGGAAATTGGAACTTATCAAAAATTAAATGAAATGCATTAAGATCAATATGTACATGTTAATGAGCTGAAATAGACAGGTATTTTGAATCAGAACATCATATGATTTAATATGCATGGAATAACAGAGTCAAGAGGAATGGTCTTGCATTCATAGGCAAAAAGGACATTTCAAGATCCATCTTGAAGTACAGTGCCATCTGTGATAGGATTATACTTATCCCATGCAGTACAACAATTGTTCAAATTTATGCACTGACCATGAAACCTAGGGATGAAGACATTCAGGAATTCTTCCAAAGTCTTCAGTATGAAATTGATAAAATGTGCAATCTAATTATTGGCTATTGGAAGGCAAAATTGGAAACAAAGTGGAAGGAACAGTAGTTGGGAAGAAAGCTGGGATTGAATGACAGAACATCATAAGACCAATGACTTTTTCATTACTCCATTTTCCCCAACAATACAAACGGTGAATACGCACATGAACTTCTCCAGATGGAATGAACAGAAATAAAATTGTGGGAAGATTCCATGGAGAAGCTCAATATCAGCACCCAAATGAGGCCAATGGCTGACTTTGGACCAGAGAACCAATTGCTCTTTTTTATGTTCATATCAAAGTTGAAAAAAAATTTAACTACATCTCAGAGAGCCAAAATACAACCTTGAGTCGATCCCACTTGAATCACAAGAACATCTCAAAACAGATTTGGTGAATTAAATACTAATGACAGAAGACCTGCTGAGCTGTGGGATGACATCAAGAGAATCATAAATTAAGAAAGTAATAGGTCATTAAAAGACAGAAAAGAAAGAAAATATCAGTATAGTGTTCAGAAAAGACTCAGAAATTTGCTTATTCATAGAGCAGCTAAGTCAAGTGGAAGAAATGATGAAGTCAAAGAGTTGAACAAAAAATTTCAATGGGTAACTCAAGAATGCAAAGCAAAATATTATAACAAAATATACAAAGACCTAGAGTTAGTAAAACATAAAAGAAGAACATGCTCACCAAACCTTAACCTGTAAGAATAGAGAAAAAATTCATCTTGAGTTTCAATATTGAAAGGTTTTATGGACAAAATACTGAATGATGCAGGAAGCATCCAAAGAAGGTGGAAAGAATACACAGAATCATTGTATCCAATATAGCTAGTCAACATTCCATAATTGTAAGAAGCAGCATGTGAACAAATGCTACTACAGGAAGAAATCCAAGCAGCACTGGAAACATAAGCTCAGAATAAGGCTCCAAAAATTGATGTTTAAACATCAATTTAAAACATTTAAAATGTTTCAAAAGGCTGATGAAGCGTTGAAAGACTCACTTTTCTATGCCAGTTATGGCAGCTGCATTGCAAACTGGCAGGAGGAGATCTACATTTGGGCCCACTACAAAGAAATGTGACCCTACAGAATGCTCAAATTATAAAACAATATTGTGAAAACAACATTCAAATAAAATTGGGCTGAAGATCATCCCATTACAGTTGCAGTAATACACTGACATTTGCAGAATATGGGACAAGGTGTATTCAATGCTGACATCAGATGGATCTTGGCTGAAAGCAGAGAATATGAGAAAGATGCTTACCGTTTTATTGGCTATGAAAAGGAATTCGACTATTTGGATTACAGCAAACTATGGATATCCTTGAGAAGAATGGGAATCCCAGAACACCACTTTGTGCTCATGCAAAACTTGTACATGGATAAAGAGGCAATTGTGGGAAATAGAACAGATGACACCACATGAATTAAAATCAGGATATGTGTGTGTCAGGGCTGTATACATTTACCATACAAATTCATAGCATACTGAGCAAATAGTCAGGTAAACTGGATTATATGAAGAAGAA